CGTTGTGTCATTTTAATCTGAAATTCTTTACGAAATCATTAAAACTCAGATTTACAGGGTATAAATATAGTAGGGTCAGTTACACAGTGTAGATTTACGTATCTCAACTCCGTACTGGTATTGATTCGTTAATAATTTGCTAACAAACTGGTAGTAAAGGGTGTTAATAAAGTCCGATCCCATGAATTTTTTGGAGCGCGGTTGTTACAAATTCAGCTGGAACTTTTGAACCATTGAAGTTATTTATTTCAAATTTTTACCATGGGAGGAACAACTAAACGTGTAAGTCATGAGCATCTTAGAGTTAAGATACAAACATTGCATCAGCAGGGGTTTAAACCTGCAGAAATTGTGCAAAAATTGGGCTGCAGCCGCAGAACTGTTTGGAAATGGAAGAACAAAAATTTTGTCCACGACAAAAAGCGACCCGGGCGACCCAGAAAGGTGTCACCTACCACAAAGAGAATGATTAAAAACAGACTTTACAAGAAAACCGGTAGTTCATTACGTAATTGTGCAAGGGAGTTAAATGACTCAAAACGCTATAAAGAGAAGAAGAAGCAAATTAACTATGTGACCGTGCAAAAATTTGTGAAATCTACGAGGTGGGGTCACACAGCTTACAAACTAACCAAAAAACCTCTCATGTCACAAAAAAATATCGATGACCGTCTGAAATTTGGAGAACTCCTTCAGAAAAGTGGCCATTTGAGTGAAAAAAGACTTGGTGAAGAATTGCGCAGTCACATCCTTTGGACTGACGAATCTATTATTGAGCTATATCCAAAATTGAACCAACAAAATGTTCGTTACAGGACAGAAAACAAATCGGATGTACCATCAAGAGCAGTCCCAAAATTCGGGCTTAAAGTTATGGTAGCGGGTGGATTTTGTGCACGTGGCGTGACTCCTCTACATATCATACCAAAAGGCCAAACAGTCAATGCAAAGTATTATATGGAAAAAATATTACCTATCTATTTCGATAGCATGGGGAACAAGGAAATATTTTCGAATGAAAGAAAAATAGTTTTCATGCAGGATGGTGCTACAGCCCATACAGCAAAAGCGAGTTTGAGTCTCATCAAGACGCAAGTTTCAACGGTCTGGAGCAAGGGGGTGTGGCCCGGAAACAGCCCAGATTTGAATCCCCTGGAGAACCTGTGGTCCATACTTAAGGAAAATGTATACAAAGAACCACAACCCCGGACGAGGGAAGAGCTAGTAAAAAAAGTTCAAGATGTATGGAATTCGATTCCCACAGACACATTGGAAAAATTAGCACAGAGCCTTAAACAAAGAGTTGAGGGCATGGTTAAAGTAAATGGTAACAAGACCAAATACTAAGGTAAATATGTCGAACATTTTTTGTAAGTATCACGGGTAGTTTTTTTTATACTAGCCTTCACTTTTTTATAGGAAAAATGGGATCGGACTTTATTAACACCCTTTAGATTTTTTTTTACAACGATTGTGATTACTTTTTAAAGAGGTGGCAGCGTTTCGAAAAACCGATTTTCGACCTTGGCCGAAAATTTGTTTTAAAATTTCTCCACAAGCAAAAACAGGCGCATTAAAAATACAGATAGCCACGTACCACCTGCTTATTGTTAGTGGTAAATTTTTCATTGCAACAACAAGGCTAAACGGTAATACCCGTTAGTATCTCTGCAGGTAGAGTCACGTACAGAAGTACTCCGGCCAGTAGTGATTTATTTTAGGCAAGTTTTCCAGGACTTCTTGTGCCAAAACTTTGCTGAAATGCTGTCACACCCCGAATTTCGTAACGCCCTACGTAAAATCGTCTTATTTTATGACTCCTTCCTCTATCGAGAGAGTGACCTTGTGTCGCCAGGATTATGGAAAATTCTGGCGAAATACGTCGCCCTGTTTCAAAAAGTTCTCCCCTTTCGAGTACTGTTGCAAGAAAGACAAATATTTCCAAACAAATGTTACCGCTTAAAGGGGGCAATTATTAAGTTTTCGTCGCTATTGCTGCCGGCCTACACGCTGAGCACATTTTTCCTCTTAATTAAAGAAAAAATAGGAGAATTATTCACACCTAGGGAATCGTCCGCATACGATTCGTTGCACATGAGGCGAACTTTTGTCATGTTTTACATCACCTTGTATTCCACGGTCATTCCGACCAGTGTAATGGTTGCTTTTGGGGCGGGGTCACTGTGTCAAGTGATGAATCAAATTGACCAATTTCGTGCCAGGATGAGAGGTTTGTTACACTGTAACATTAATACGACTGCGTAAAGCCTACTACTCAGGACGGATTTCCCAAGTAAAAAGGTTTAGCAAAAAACGGGAAACTTCTATAAATAACATCTTGCAACATGCTTGAGGAAATACTCGTATTTTGGTAAACTTTGCAGTGAAATTAAAGTAACACGAGGAAAGGTATAATTTAATACAAAGAGAAGAACCGCGATTTCGGGAGAAAAATCTGTCCTGAATACGAGGTTTAACGTAGAACTTGATGACTCGTCGCAAAAACCGTCACGATCGGCACATGTTTAGTCATTCCTCCCTTTTGGGAATTCGTTGTAAAATTCAGCACTACAAATTTGTACATCTTCAAGTTGAAAAATTTCAAAAAAATGCCTCCAGGTTTTAACAGTTTTTGAAGTTGGAAATCTTAAGTATTACTTAAAATAAGAATCCTTCAAAAAATTCGAAGTCAGTGAACCGTTTTTATCATAGCAACCGGTCGCCCCGAGTTTTAAAATAAATTCTCATAGACGTGAAATGATTTAAAATGTGTTAATTTTAGTGATTTATTAGTCCCATGTTAACAATTGATTGAAATTTTAAACATTATGGGCATGTTTCTCTCGGTTTTTCAGAACTAACTCGGCACCAGCCTCCCACCAATAAGTTCCTGGAGACCGGGCTACACACCTTTATTCAAATTTCTGCCTTATTTCCTCTTCTAAATCCAGTCTTTGTCCTCCGGGGGACAGATCCGTTTCACGTTCTCAATCCATATTCGCAGATTTTCCCGGGGTCCAACTTCCTCACAATTCTGCTACGAATTTTACTCTTCACCTGGGTCGGGGGCGAAGTGGTAAAATCCATGTGCGGCCTGGCCATCCTGATGCTAATCGTTTTAACAGGATCCATTCAAATAATTGCTTGGTGCAAGAAACTAGGTGAAAAATGTGGAAATTCTTCTACAACAAAAGTTGTGCAATTATATAAAGAACTGCAAATCTGGATTGGTTATTGCAACCGAAAATTTTGTTATTTTGCAGTCCCGCCAATGATATTTTTTGGCATGTGTATCATAATTTTGGCGACTTATGTGAGCATTCGATTGGCGGGAAAGGTTCCGCTTGCGGTTCACTGCTTTTTCGTGGTGACGAGCGCGGCGGGATTTACGGCGGTGGGAACGATCTTGCCACGTGCCGTGATGGTTTGGGAAGGTTCGGAAAGGTTGATAAAGTTTCTGAGGGGAAGATGCGACACAAAGTTTGAGAGGAGGTTGGTTCGCCCGTTGAGCAGGGTGGGAATTAGGGTGGGGCCTTTTGAAACCATAACGAAGGAGTGGCAGGGAAAGATTGTGTCGAATATTGTGGATGGCACGATTAATTTACTCTTGACTTTTTAGTGTCAGGTTCAAGTAAAAATGTTATTATCTCATATTTACATAAATTCAAACATTTCTCTCATAAACTTACTAAAAGGTTGGTAGATGGTAATGTATGTAGGTTATTTATGTAGTTTCGCTTAAAAAAGATTTGACTTATTAGATACTTAAAAATAAGTAAGAAACAATTATAAAAATGTACAAGAAGTGCACAACTATGCAAAAACTTTGTAAATATATACAAAAATATCTTTTAAAAATTCCATATCAATACTAAATATAAATACTTCTTAACAAATAATTAGTATATGAATGAATGAATGAATACAGGATAATTTTATATTTAGTTTAAAAATATTATCTTATTAGAAGTTTATTTATTTAAATAAATAAAACAAAGATACCTACATACGTTAATTCGCTCATATAGTATTTTAATTAAAGATTTGCATGTTTGCTTGAAATTTATGGATATGTACATATGTATCATCCTTTGTATTTAAAATATTAAGATCAATGACAAACATGCACTTCAGTGGCATCTTTACGTGCGAAAATGCTATTTATAGTTTGTTCATTATGCATAATGAACACCATAGTTATGGTTTAAGCATAGGATGGAGAGTTTTTTTAATTCAAGGCTTATGACGGGCTGGTCTGTTATTTTAAAAATCACGCCGTAGTAAAAAAAACTCATTAATCGTACCATTTTGTTGGACAATCCATCACGCCACTTAGGGTTACGTAAATAAACAAGTGCACACTTAAACCCAAAGCAAAGCAAATACTTACTATTGGAATTTTGTAAAATAAATAATTTATGATTACTTAAAATAAATACTTAATTGAGGATAATTGAGGGCAGTACAGTGACCATAATTTGTGAAAATTTCATAATAAGTATTCTTCTCGAATAGATATGTAAATATGTATGATAAATAAGTTCGTGAAAATCAGAATTCATTTTTCCAATCTCTTTGCACATAAAAGTTTACATTTTGTGGAAAATAAAGTTTGTAAAATGACAGTCATTCTCGCCTCGGTACCCTTGGACCGCCTTGATCCCAAAAAGGCAACCTTTTTCAGGTTCAAAATCCTAAATCTTTGTATTAATTCCACAAATCCATAAAATCCCTCGATGGTCTTCCTCACATTTCCAAGAATCCAGTGTCTCCACAAACACACAATAGGGAACATGCATGCATGACGTATTAAAAAAGGTGATTTTGAGGTCATCCAGCCACCTATTCCTTCCTGATCCTGCTCCTGTTAAGCGTAACACAGATAAAATAAATAGGCGACCCAAGGCTACACACCCTCTCCGCCTTTTTATATACGACGTAATATGTGTACGTCCCCAAAATGCAGATAAACCCCTCAAAAATAAAAAGTCCATCAGTCCAAAATATTTCCCAACTTACGCAAGTATCACCAGTTCCAACCAGCTACATATACGTCCCGATGGACATAAATTCTATACGATATCTATGGATTCGCTAACTTGGTAAGAAATTTTAACATTGCAATATTTACAAAAAGTATATTTACACAAATAAAATTGGAAGTAAATTTTCCCCAAAATTATTTAAAATCTTTGTAGGCAACAACAAATTCTCAATTTAGTGTTGACACGAGTGGCATCTGTTCGCATTAATTTATGTATTGATTGGTGAATAAATAATTTAGGTATGTGTTCACTACTCAATACATTTATGAATGAATGAATTTTGAATAAATGTTTATTCATTTCATATTTATGAGGAATGAGTATATAAACAATTTTAAACATTTTTTTTTTCATTTTTGAGTTTCGAATAAATGAATAATGAATGAATATTTTGGTTCCAATTTGTGAACAGAATGATTTTGAATTGAAAAAAAAATATTTTTTGAATGCGATTAAAAAGGATTGCTATAAAATTATAAATTCCCGACAATTTCAGTATTTTGGAACAACCCAAATTTGGAGCGGGGTCACAGAGCTCCCCGTGGTGGCGACGGCGGCAGAAAATTACCGAATTCTACGATCCTCGGATGAACACGCGGCAGACGTGAAATTAATGCGGGACGTGGGACCCTTTTTCGCCACGCTTTATATCCTGTCATTTTTCCTCCTCTGTTCCGGAATATTTTCCATTTTGGCGTCCATCACGGATCAGGCGAGATGGGTGGTCAGATTGATAAAAGTGGCGAATTTTTTCTCCACCCTGCTCTACTGCGGAATCATCTTGGTTATCGTGTACAACTTGAATCCGGCAAGTTTTCGATCCGACAAGAAATTAGGAAATATCGGATTATCCTGGGAGACATATGTGTATTGCGGATTTGTATAATTCGCAATAGTTTCATGGAATAAGAAACTGATCAAAATGCTCGAAAGAAAAATTCAACGGAGGCAACGAGCAGATGTGTAAGAAATTAGCCCAGCCCAGCATTTCAAACTTAACATTGTTAAGCTTACGCGCTTATTTCTAAGCTTATTTTTAAGCTTACCTTACTGTTGTAAGCTTAAAGCATGGAAATCGAAAAACTTATCGTCCACATACTAATATATTTTAATTCCGAATCAAAAGTCTGTCTTCGGTTTTACATTTACCACTTTTGTCATACATATTTACATATTTATATTTGCATTTCACAAAAGGAAATTTTAGTACACTCAAAATAAAAATTTGTCGAATCAACACCGCCGGTGTCAATATATGACTTAACCGCCTTGGTTACAATTGTGATTCCGAGGTATGATGATTTTGATATCGGTAGTTATCATGTTATGACCGGACGGAAAAAATTCATTACTACTCGGAATCACAATTGTAACCAAGGCGGTTAAGTCATATATTGACACCGTTTTGTTTTGAGTGTACGTAGTATCTAAATATGTTTCTAACACCACGTTATTTGCACGCATGCATGGAGTATGTACATATGTAAATATGTATTAAGAGATTCAACCAACTCATTCATCCCAAATCATGTTCACGTTAAACAGATCATCACTCCGATGATCTCACAGCGAACAGCAACACGTATGTAATCAATTGCAATGGTTTTATTGAAAAAGGTCAATCAGAACCTGTTTCAGGATCAGCTGGAGTGTTTATGTAGCAACAAGTGTACTTATAAGTAAAAGTTAATCATTGTTAATAATTGCAGAAAATTGAAACCAAAAGAAGTTAATAAAAAAATCAAACGTTGCACACTGTTAAAAATCTATTACTTAAATATATGTAGTAATTGATTTCTCGGTGTTATAATTGCTACCGTTTTGTTTTCTAATTCCGGACTAATTTAGATAACTTTGCAACCGATACATATGGTAAAACTGTAATACTGGGCTATTTCTATGTACATATTTGATATTACCAAACCCAATGTATAAATAGGACTACTGTTCGGTATTATTTTAATACTGGAGTTCTAAAAGTGTACAAATCCAGAATTGTAATTTCAATTCGTAATTAGAATTTTTAACGTTATACGTACATAAGTAGTCGAATTTTACGAATCGCGATACCTCATCAATGGAAGAATGTCCAATATGTTGCAACGAGTACGAGCCGAAATCAAGTCTCTGGGTGGTAAGTAGATAATTAACTTTCAATTGTTAATTACAAGTTAAGATAGTTAACAAATTATTCACATGCACTTTTAAAAGATAGTGTCACTGAGTTGAAAAGTACAGGCACTCTAAATTCTGTATTAAGTAAACCATACTAAAGTCAAAAAATCGTTAATTTGATGAGCATTAAGTTTGCTCTGGATTTAGTATATTTTACAAAATTTAGAATTCAGAGTGCATTTAACGTTCAAAAGCTGACATTATTTTTAAGAGTAAAATAAATTCATCATTTTTTAAATAGGAGCTCACCTGTTCTCACAAATTATGTACGTCATGCCATTCGAAAATTCAAACTACCCGCACCACCATGTCCGGAGAAACGCATACCTTTTCAAAGTGCCCGTTTTGCCAGGCCTTGACCGGAATTGAGATTGGCACGTGTCCCGACGGGCGAATGACGGTTAGAGAACATCGGTCACGTTGCGCCGGATTTGAGGGGGTGGGCACGATCCAGATCAACTATTCGGTCCAGGGGCAGTATTCACTAAATAGGACGGCGTTCCTGCCAAACAATGCGGAAGGCCAGAGAGTACTTAATCTTTTAAGGACGGCGTGGGATCGAAGACTCTGTTTCGCGATTGGGACAAGTGTCACGACCGGAGCGAGGAATGTGCCAGTTTGGAATGTTCATCATAAAACTGCCATGTTTGGAGGGGTGTCATGCCATGGATATCCGGATCCCCGGTATTTTGAGAGAGTTACGAACGAGCTGAAATCGTTCGGGGTAGAATGAACTTTTACGACGGAGGAGGTTTGCAAATAATAAGCTTGCCTCATAAAATTGCGATAAGCCTATACTTGTTCAAAAATATTTATTCATTCAAAATTAATTCTAATAAAAAATTTCCATGATTTGTTTAAAATTTAATTTATTGTAAAATTTGCTCAATTTCCATGTCTGAGCAGGGGAATAATGTTGGTTGTTGAAACTACCTAACACGGTCAAAAAATAATCCGGGCTGAACATGGTTTGCATCCCTGTTGTTAGTATAACAATGTTAATTAATCTGCATGTTTCTTAGAAATAGTTTCTATTTAAATATTTGTGTACTTTGATCAAGATTTATTTCACATGAATTTATTTTCAAAGAATTTGTAGCAGGTAAAGTAACAGGAAATTGTACAACAGAGGATGTTTGAAGCTGAGGATTACAATTGTTCTGCAGAACACCTTTATTTATAGCCCTATTCTAATTACAGCCACATATTGCCGGGCGTAGAAACCATAATTTCAAAATTTTAGCCGGTTCAGTACCTGTATTGTCCACCGTGTCTCCGTTCATGTTTCCTGCAAATTAATAAAGCTCAAATTTAGGTAACTTGGATTATATATGATCATGTAATTTCTGACGTTAACAAAATTCAGCCAAGTATAGCAGGTCTTTAATTGTAGCCGTGTCTGCGACACTTACAATGGAGGTCCTCCAAAGTATGCTCGCAAATTTGGACCAAACTAGCGTCAATCGATCACAAATATAATTAGTATGAAATTTGCAAATGGAACTATCTGCCAATCCGCAGGTTTGGCGGAGATATGTAAATATGTACCAAAGGGAGGGCAGCTCGCTGATAACGATTTTGACCTTTAATATCTTTGGCACTTGAAGTAATTTCAACTTGAAACTTCGCAAATTGATAGGCCCTAGAGTTGGTATTATAGGTGCAAAATTTCAATTCTCTACTGTAAGAACCAGACCTTCAACTAAACCTAAAGTAAAGCAGTGATGATTTTTTGTGTTCCAGACCTAAATTACCCTATGGAAGCACATGTGGAAGGTGTTGATAACCTAAAAATGTCAGGAAATAGCAAATTATGTGACCCCATGGATTACCGGAAAAAATCACCTGGAAAAAATCACCTCGGAAAATATCTCCCGGAAAGAATCTCCAATGGAAATAATCCCCAATGAAAGAATCTCCTATGGAAAAAATCACCAGTGGACAAAATCACCATCGGAAAAAATCCCCAAATTAATAAGTTATAGATTTACGATAGATAATATAGAAATAGAGTGGTCAGCTTGCGTTGAATTCATGTAACTCTAATTTTTTCACTCTATATACATATATCTACATACATAGGTACAGTCGGTTTATTTACCATACGACCCTCGACGTCACCACTGCAATGCTATCAGTAATGAGAGTGATGACGTCGAGGATCATATGGTTAAAAAACAGGAGTACATACCAATTTGGTACTCAGGACGAAGTCTTCACTGTATGTTATTCTAAATTTCGACTTTTGTAGTCCAAGATAATCCAATATTAAACTCTTTTCAGTTTTTAATATTTTTGCAAAATTTTCTGACCAGGGAATGATCAAAATTTCCTAAAGTTGAATTTATGAAACATTTGATATGAGAACCTGACTACAATGTTGCACATATTCTCAAAATCATACAAACTAGAATTTTTGGCGAGCGCTTGAAGGCGATGATTTTAGTATTTTAAACCCCTTGATTGGGTGTGGCGGACGCAATGTATCTAGTGGTTCTTCTTCACTCATATGGTACAACATATTCAAGAACAATCGAGCTTAAGATTAATAAGTATGTATGTATATACATACCTATATGTATGTATGTATGTACAAATATGTATATACAATTACCTAGAGTGAAAAATAAGCGTTACACTATTTGAAGTAAAATTTACTAAAAATATTAAAATTTATTAATTTGGGGATTTTTTCCGATGGTGATTTTGTCCACTGGTGATTTTTTCCATAGGAGATTCTTTCATTGGGGATTATTTCCATTGGAGATTCTTTCCGGGAGATATTTCCGAGGTGATTTTTTCCAGGTGATTTTTTCCGGTTACCGACCCCATGTCTGTAGTACGCATTGCAGTTTAAATTTTGATTGAAATATAACTGTGTATAGTTTCAGAGTAAAAGTTATAACAGCCCCCGAACTGTCAAAATGTCGCTAATTTTTCCCAACTCACTCCATAACACGAAATTAAATATTTGTACTCCAAAATCTGTCTGTATTACCATCAGTAAGGTCTAACTGCTAAAATAATAAACATGAAAATATTTCAACTATTGAGATTTGTAAAATTCCATTTAACACAAAAAATAACTTTTCTCATGCTTTTTTGTACAAATCCACCTGGTATGGAATGAGTTAAAAAAATTTTGGGAGATTTATGAGGTATTTATGAAAGCCACATAGATGCCAAAAATTTTCATAACACCTACATAAAATTCTATGAACAATTCACAATTCTAGAGTGTTTTAAAAATATTCTGAAATTTATAAAAATTCAATTTTGGAAAGGCTTTGGAACAGAATTATTTTTTCCTATGCATATATCTCTGGTGCCATTTACACTAGCGAATTGAAATTTTACAGAAATAATGCTGACTATAAGGTGAACAAATTATAAAAATTTTAATTCAAAATTTCCAATAGCGCCAAAGATATTAATGGTCAAAATCGTTATCAGCGGGACGCCCCACCTCAGTATTTATGAATATTTTAACGTTCGCAGAATTTCGAAATCGTTTCCCAGCATGTCAAATTTTTGGTATCGTTGCACTCACAAAAACGAGCTCTATGACAAAATTATGCAAACCTGAAAAAAAAATTTTTCGTTTCAAGCGAAATTCCAGTTGTGATTATTATAACTTATAGTTGACGTATTTATTGGTCAAAAATTTATTTAATTTAATAAGTCATGCATAAGTTTAATAATTAATAAATAATTACTTATCCATCAATAAGTTACTTAAAATTTATTCTTCAGTCTCTGTTTGAAGCCTCGTGAAAAATAGAGTTTTCAACGTAATAAACATTCAAAGTATGTATTTATCCTCAGACAATCCTGATCCAAAGAAAGAACCTTTTTTCAGGTAAAAATTGAAGGCCAAAAATACTCCCAAAATCTAAAATAAATCTATTGATCACACAAACCTTTGAAATCCCTCGAGGACCTTTTCCACATTTCTTCCAATCTCTCCACTCCATCGATAAGAATGCTTCTCCACACACATTATGGAGAACGTCCATATATTACTTCATCAAAAAAGGGTAGATTTTTCGATCACATATCTGCTCATGGTACGCCTAACACGACACGAGTTAAGGTTTGCGTGCAAAGCCACACAGCCACGTTTTTGATGACGTAATATTTGGACGTCCCCCTCCTTAGCAGAAGGCCTGTCAAGAATAAAAACTTGATCAGTCCACCTCTCTAACTTGGTCAGTTGTGTTCATCCACACGTCTCGTTGCACATAATATCGCGAAAATGGCCATTTTCAAGAAATTTGCTATCCTCAATCTCTGTGGATTCGCTAACTTGGTAAGAATTTCTAACGACAACTTTTTCTGTAAGTTTCCATAGTGATAAAATAAATATATATTTATCGTAACCACTTGGAATTGAGGGGTCGTACACAAAGCATTTGATTGATTTTGGGAGTATTTATTTTCTGAAATAAAATAAATAACAAACAGTTTTTTTCTAAATTAAATGAATTTTGAATGAAGAAATATTTTTCGAATACAGTTTTAATTTGGTAATAATTTCAGTATTATGGAACCACGCAAATTTGGAGCGGCGTCCCAGAGCACCCCGCGATGACTACGGCTGCAGAAAACTACAGAATTCTCCGCCAAACCGACGAGAGCGCGGCAGATTTTAAATTTTCTCTGGAGGTAGGACCCACCTTCGCGGCGATTTACATCCTCAAACTATTTCTCCTGGGTTCTGGACTATTTTCCATTTTGGCGTCAATCCTGCATGAGGCGAGATGGGGGGTCAGATTGATAAAAGTGGCAAACTTTTTTTCCACCCTGCTTTACTGCGGAATAATCCTGATTATTTGTTACAACTGGAATCCATCAAGTTTCCGGTCGGAGGACAAATTCGGAAATATTGGATTATCCGGGATGACATATTTGTATTGTGGAATTGCCCAGTTTGCAATGGTTGCGTGGAATAAGAAATTGATAAAACTGCTGCAAAGTAATATTTTACGAAAAGAGGAAAAATCTAAGGAAAATATGAAAACCAATTTGACCTTGGAGGGGGTTAAATAAATTGTATATTTGTCAACAATTTTTTAAAACACTTGTAAATAAAATACGCTTTATTACGAATTTCAAATTATTGAGGTTTCCAGAAATCAATGATTTTTTTGCCAACTCTAAATTACAGATTGTTTACAGCAAAATTGTTGGTTAGACTTGACTTATTATTGACCATTAACTTTCTAAAAATGCTAGATTTTAGCCACTTGCGAATCTTTCTTATTGTGAATGTTTACCGTTACATAGAATTAATTACTGATGAATCTGGGGCGATGTTGTGGCCATGATAAATACGTAAACTATTTATTTTGTAAATAGGTATATATGTAATTTAGAATTTGAAATAAAGTACGCTGCAGATTTTTTTTACTTTGCTTGATTTATTAATTTATACTACGACAAGGACAAATTAGGGCTGGAATGGATCTAAAGATGATAGTTAAACGTTAAAGATGATAGAGAAAGTTGTGATAGCTGTGACTAAATTTAGATGTAATTTGTCACTATCTACTATTTATTTTGAGTTAGGTACCATTTAGAATTAGTGACAATTTTGGATTTGGTTTCTAAAGTTGATCAATACCCGGAGTTTCATAAAAACTAGTGTTAACAGTAAGTTAGTTTTATTTAATGTTCCACCAAGTTGGTGCACACTACGGCATCCAAAATTACATCAGGTAAACTTCTTAAACTAAAAAAACTGGAAAAATTTCAGGTTCAAAATTCAAAACTGTATTTTAGGCCCATTGTTTTCAAATTTTTAATGTGTCTAAATTTTTCGACGTTGACGCGGATGGTGGGATTATCGGATCGTATGGTGGTGGACAATGCATTATTCACAGTTGAGTTAGGGACTCTGAACACTATTACGTATGTAAGAAGACAGAGAAATTTTGTGATTTTTGTAGTTTCAGAATTTTTGAAATCAAAATTATAAAATAATGTCTGGCCGAATTTCTTAATAGACGTTGAATTAGATTTGATTTTTTAATTGCCCTTCTGTAATGCCTAGCTCCACTAGCACACACATACCTGTAAAGTAATCTTGTGCAAAAGCTTGCGCTAGTAGCAGAGTAACAAAGATAATTGCGAGCTTCATGACGTTTTAAAACAAGTGGTAACTCGCAGGTCTCTACAATTGGAACAATATAAGATTGCGTAAATGCAATTCCGTTTAAATATTAAGCTTGTGGAATAAATTATTCACGTGATTGATTTATTGACGTCATTGGGTTCAGTGGTCGACGCCGCCACCACCATCAGCATCGGCTCAAAAAGTTAAGGTTTGTTCTCTCAATGGCTGACAAGCGACGCTCACGGGGGGTCGGTGGTGTCCAGGGTACCCATGATTTTTAGAATCTGCAAGGACCCAAGATGAATGATCCATTCTTATTTCAGTGTTAAACTTACATATACTCGACGCCGTGCCGTCAAGTTCCGTGGCGTCAAACTTAAAAATATGCATTTTCGACAAACTTCAAACCTTCATAACTTTTGCAGCTTTTGCGGGATTTACAAAAATTCACGCTTAAAATGATCACAAACGTTGCAATTTTCTGAGAAAAGTTACAAATAAAAAGTTTTCAATATTTGACATATTTTTAGCACTTTTCGACGGACCCCCATTTCTACAGGAATTAGGAAATTTTGCAGATACTTAAAAGCGACAGTTTTTTGAAAAATTTCATGGCATACGAGTGTTGAACTCTGTCATGATTTTTGCCAAAATTTTGAAAATCCGTCCAGGATTTCGGCGGTTTTAAAAATAAAAACATTCAAATGTGGCGCGGCGCCAAGTATAAGGTTTGCACAGAAAAAAGAATGTATCCATCATTTAGGGTCCTAGTAGATTATAAAAAATATTATGGGTGCCCTAACCATGACCAACTACTCTTGAGTGTCCCTTGTGATATATCAAAAGATGTTAAATATGTTTTAATGATGTTAACTGTATATGTACTTGCACTTTTTTATCATGGTACACGTACACCAGGGGTGTGTAAAGAGTTAGATGAAAAAATAAGCCCAAAAATTAGGAACATATGTAGACCAAGGTCTAAATGTTCTACTTTTTGGGAAGTTCATATGTAGGTGAAATTAAAATAGGTGAAATTAAAATGGGCGCCAAACTTTTTTCGGCCTCAGAGGCGACGGGCCGATAATTTACCCCGGCGGTGTATGCTAAGCGACGTCGACCTCTGTCTGGGTAATATTCCAAACACAAATTAATGCAGGAACACCTGTTGAATTTAATGGTACATATATGATTTTATTCTACTTCAACGATTAATGTTTAAATAAATATTTATAAAGCAAAAGAAGGGGGTTGATCTCTAATCATTGTCGTATGTACATACATATGTACATATATACCTCATGTGTGTACATATATCTGTCTGCACGTGGGTGGCATGATTGAGTAAAAACGGCTGAAACCAATCAAGTGTAATTTTACTATGTCTACATACATACATATACATATTTGTATTAGGTAAACATTTGGTTCCAAAATGAATGCAAATTGTGCAGTGGTTGACCAGTGGGGTCAAGTAGGTCATATCTTTGCTAAATTTTTGCAATGGCAAAATAATGTCAAAACATCCCAAAAATCAGTAGGGTGTATGCATAATTCTTGGTCAACCTGTCCTAACTTTTACTCTTCATCCTTACTTTGTTGAGTTGTTGCATGCACATAAATATTTATGGATTCATGCAATCAGCACCTACCTTATTAAACTAACAATGGAGGTCTCCCAACGTATGCTCACAGATTTGGATCAAACTAGTGTCAATCGATCACAAATATAATTAGTATGAAATTTGCAAATGGAACTATCTGCCAATACGCAGGTTTGGCGGAGATATTTGCATAAAAAGAGGAGGAAACGCACCAAAAGGCTGGCATAGTTTTCATTTTCCAAATTTCCTGTGCATTTTTTCAGCTTTGAATGCAAATATCTCCGCCAAACCTGCGCATTGGCAGATAGTTCCATTTGCAAATTTCATACTAATTATATTTGTGATCGATTGACATTAATTTCGTCCAAATCTGTGAGCATACGTTGGGAGACCTCCATTGTAAGTATTTTTTGGCTGATTAAGCAATCGGAATGACTTACACGTACACGCGCATACGTTTGTAGCAGGTTAAAGTATTTTGCAGCGCAATAATTTACAGCCATTTCGATAGCATAAGTAGAACTAATTGCTCATGTGAGACTTGACAGTGGAATCAAATCGATAAGTTGTTAATGCGTACTCTTATTGATTGTTACTAACAATTTGTTAGTCGTAAGTTTTAAAACCTGTGACGTCAATGGGATTCATCAAGTGTCACATTCACTTATTCCAAAAATTAATACCTTACATATACATATACGTTCATTCGTTTTTATTTTATTCAATATTTCCGAATTAAAATTATTGTGCTGCATACGTGGCAAGTTTCTGAAATGTAAAATTCGAATTTTTTTCCATTTAATTTATTTTCGTTTACATTCATGTTAGCATTTCTTTCGAAATCACAAACAGTTTATGGCTATAAGTTAGAAACAATTGTTAACTTTAGAAATCCCAAAATTATTGAGTAATTACTTAAGCCATTTTAGAATGTGGATAAGATTAAGTATTTAATGTTGATACTGTAAGCTCATGAAAATAGTTCTAGTTTGCTTTGCAAAATTCAGTTGGATAATATGTATTTTACTATTAACCCCGACTTTTGTAATCACTAGTATTAGTGAATGAGGATAAAAAATGCTTATTATTATTATTATTATTATTAGCTCACCCTGCGAAGCATGAGAGCTATTGAATTCCTCTTGTCCGTCCGTCCGTCCGACCGTCCGCCCGTCTGTGTGTTCACGAGTTTTTTGCATCAATTGATGCTAATTAATAATCCCCTTGACCATTATAGAATAAATTAGGCGCACCATTGGTATCGAACAATCCGTGGCGCAAATGGTGCGAATTAATTGTGCAAAGGGATCGAGAAAGGACTACAATTTTGGAATAGGTAGCACCGTTCGTATTGAACAGTTGGTTATCCAAGCTGATGCGAAACAATTGGATGAGCATCTCCTGATCCTCACTAGAATGGATCAGGTCCATTTTTTAATAAATTAATAGCACCGTTGGTATCTAACAATCGGTAACACAAAATGATGCGAAACAATTGGGTTAATTGATGCAAAACGCACCAATGGTACAGAATAGCCGGGAGAATTTATTATATAATTTTGACACAAATTTTTTGAAATTTTATTTGACACACCACGGTTAATCTCCAACAGTGGTGCAAAATACTTTGCCATCTTCCTCGTTTTTCTACACCATTGATGCATAATTGCATAATAATTATTGATCTATTTTATGCTTCGTTTTTATGCACCACTGGTGAATAATTGCTTAAAAATTATTGATCTATTTTGTTGAACTACTATAATTTTGCACCCAAGGTGCAAAGGTGCCAGGTAATTATATATTACAGGGTGAGCTATTTCTAACGTTACTACGGTTTATTATTAAATACCTGCTATTTTAGTTGTGAACCAGGCTAAACTGAGTCAAGGGGAAATTATGCATCCTGCAGCCCCGGATTTTGCTTATCTTTGGTGTGTACATACTATGTAGGATAGCGTACTAAACCCCTCAAATGATTCAGCTTTGGGTTAAATTTAATACACCATCGAATAAGCTGAAATTTGCCACAAATTTTAGCTGAATTTGCCACCGGATGAATTTTTTCCAACTTTAGCCTTTTCAGCCACCGAATTAGATAGTGGTTACCACAAATTACATAAGATGAGCTGCCACCAACAAATTCCGGGGTGCGGTCGGGGAAAAATGAAATCTTTAACAGAAATTTAATTTATGGATGAAATATGGTTAAATTAAGGAGGGGAGCTTCACCACCTGCCCTTCTCGGATCTCGATGCCCTTTGGATATGTGGTAGGGTCCCATGAGTGTACTAAAACCCTGAAGTGGTTTGACTCCATGGCCACATTTGCGCCCGCCACACCCACTCAAAGGCGCAAAAAACACGAAAAAAACCCTGTTTTCACTTGTTCGAACCCTCGCCAAAAATCCAATTTTGCTCGGATTTTGGTAAAATTTACATTTTTGTGATCCCAGATACTTGTGTGATAATATCCAGTAGATATCTCAACTTTTTTAAAATTTTGAATTTTTTCGAATAATTCACCAGCCCGGAAATGCCCGAAAATTTCGAAAATTTCAAAAAAGTTGAGATTGCTACTGGATATGATCAAACAAGTATCTGGGATTACAAAAATGTAAATTTTATGAAAATCCGATCAAAATTGGATTTTTGGTGGATTTTTGAAGTTGGTAACTTTTGTGGTTTTCATCCCTTTGAGTGGGTGTGGCGGGCGTAAATGTGGCCATGGAGGCAAACCACTTCAGGGTTTTAGTACACTCATGGGACCCTACCACATATGCAAAGGACATCAAGATCTGAGAGGGGCAGGTGGTGAAGCTCTCCTCCTAAGTGCTCCCGACTTGTACCTCACCTCCTCGTACCCACGGGGTGTGTTTGGGGCAAAATGAGATTTTTAAGTAATGATGTAAGATGCAAACAACCTTCAAATCACTCTGTGCTTTTGGTTTCTTTATTTTGTATCGCATTCTAAGAATGTTTGCGTTACCTGAGTATCCTGCGTTGATGCAGATTATTTAGAAACAAGTTGGCAGTGTGGAGCTGTGACTCTGGTGAATCAATCCCCTACCGATTGTGGCGGTGGTGGCTGCGTTACTGCGACCGTTCACGATGTATGTCACATAAATGAAAACCTAGTAATTAGAAGGAAAACATTTCTCTAATTAATTAGTAATTACCAGAAGGCGTATGTATGTACGTAAATACCGCAAAATATGTATCTTCTTAAAAAACCTGAAAATATACACATACAAAATGTTTTTCAACCTGAATTTTCTACGATATTCTTGAAATATAATTTCGAGGGAACCTAAATTTCTATATTTTTCAAATATTTTAGTACATAGTCTTACCATAAGAAGTGATAGTAGAGCGTAGTTTTTGAACCGGTCAACATAAAATTAAAAGGTCAGTTGCGGTTTGTACATACATTCAGTGCCTATCATTGGTGTTGACCGTTTTTACTTGACGTCACTAGGTCAAAAGTAGGAGGAGCTTAGCTACACGCGCGCGGCAATAATTTTTCACTTTTTGCACGAGAAAAAAATGCACGATGTTTGATGTAGTGTAGCAGTCCAAGTACAACTACGATCTGGTTGCCCAAACTATGTACATTCGACGTAGACTTTAATACTAGTCCGATGATGTGGCAAAATTTCCGTGTCAAAATGACATTTCGTCAAGTGGTGACGACTTTTGTGACGCGCCGAACGGTCACTTTCGCCCATGGTTTCAATAGAGGAACGCTTTTCACCACTCGCTCCTCACTCATCTCACTTAAATCTCAACCCATTTTTTCGACATAATTTCGCATACGATGGATGGATTTATAATCACGAACTTTACTATGCCTACGCCTTGTCTTTTCTAATTTATTTTTTTTGGCACGATTGTAGAAGTTAAGAATATTCACCATCTCTTGATAGGTAAAATTTACACCGTCGACATCTTCTTCCTCCCATTCCTGTGAGATTCGTTGCGACAGACTTGCAGAAGCTTCCTCGACGTCTTGCTCATCTTCAGAATCCTCATGAAATTCATTTATTGTATCACTATCACTAATTAAATCGTATGCCTCGACATAAGTGTCAATATCACAATCATAATCAAATTCTAAAGTAATAGAAGATTCAAAGTCCGTATTTGAATTATCAACTAAATCTTCCACAAAACGCAAAACCCGGTCAACAATTTCAACATTGTTAACTAGAATTGATGAAGCGTTCGAATCTCCCGAATACCTATACCTGTCCTTGGCGATTTTAAGAACAGACTCACAAATTGATACAATTATAGACATTCTATAATTTTTAAACTCAACGACTATTTCAAGGTAAAAAATTATATTAAAAGGCTACAAATAGTAAACAAGGATCATATTGTCGAAACAGTTAAATTGGATGCGAGTTTACTCAATGAGTAGATGAAGTGAGATAAGTGAGGAGCGAGTGGTGAAAAGCGTTCCTTTTTTGAAAGCATGAGCGAAAGTGACCGTTCGGCGCGTCACTAAAGTCGTCACCACTTGACGAAATGTCATTTTGACACGGAAATTTTGTCACATCATCGGATTAGTATTAAAATCTACGTCGAATGTACATAGTGGTTGTGCTGGGAGCTCCGGGCACTATAAGAGATTCCCTCGTAAGTAAGTTTGTATTGATTAATTTAAAAATATAAATTTTATTCGGTTATATAATATATTGATAAGATTGTTACGGTCTGTTCTTCAAATGGTCAAACATCAGTTGCCGCTTCTTCTCTAGATTTGTATTAGCTTGCCCCATTTCTCTTTGCATCGCTAATCTCTCCCGCTCTAATGAACTCCTACTGCTTTCTAGTTCCAAACTAATTCGTTTCTGCTTTTGTTCCAAATTTGCTCGATCTCTCTCCAAACTTTCCATCTTACTTTTGTAATCTTTTAAGGCTCGTTCCCACTCCTGGATTCTGCCCGTGGTCCGCTGCTGCTCGCGGCATCTTCCGCGTGTCTTTTGTAATTTGCTAGACCCCGTTCAATCTCAGAATTTCGGCTTTTTACAAGATTGTCGAAAGTTCTTTCATGCTGTTTGTAACTTCGGGTTAATTGATCTTGACGGTTTTTGGCTTTTGTATTTTCAAATTCGAAATCTCTCTCGAGGCTGGATTGCTCGTCCTGCCAGCGTTTTTGTTTTAGCTCGGAGAGCATTTGAGCTTCCTCGCGACGGCGGTTTTCTTCTTCGCGGCGGAGTTCGTCTTGGCGTTGACGGGCTATTTTTTCGTTTTCAATTGAGGTTTTTTCATCTTGGTGCTTTTTGAGGTTGTCAAAAGTTTCCTTGGAAATTGTTAGTTGACGGATTGAATCGGTGGGTTCTGGGGAAGTGGAGCTTGAAGGTTTTGGTGCGGATTGTTTCCCCTTTAAGTTAAAAGATTTGTTAAATCGTGTGAAAATGGATTGATGACTGATTCAACTCGCAAAATGCATTAAATTTAAAAATGCAATTATAAATATTCTATAATCTAATTATAAATATTATAAATATTTTAAATTAATATTTATTCATTATTCATTCATTAAAAATTTGAAAATAAGTATTTAACTATTGTTCATTTTTTATTCATTTTTTATTCGTCTTAAATTTTCTTATTAGATTGACGTCCCAATATACCCCATGTATTTAGGACAAAGATACGATAAAAATGATAAATGAATACAATTATTCATAAATTCTTCATCAATATGAAATGAATAAATCATTACTCAATATTCATACGAGTATATTCTAAAAATTTGAGAAAACCATACACTCACCATTCATAAAATTATTAAATAATTAATGAATTAATTATTTATTCATTCTCTATTATTTGAATGAATAAATAAATTTGGACACATAAAATAGGATAACAATTTCGGAATGTGCTTTAAAATACAAAGCTTAATTTCTTTCTCACCTTAACTTTAGGGAATTTTGGCTTCAACAAAATGAAACCTGCTTCACCCACGTTAACCTGACAGGACGGACAGCAATTAAGATATTTACGCCTTGATTCCTTTTTCTCCGCCCAAACTTGAATCTCTTCGATGCAATCGGTATGAAATAGATGTCCACATTTTGCGGAGGAAACTTTGTTCTGGGATGCGACACTCAAAAACAAGGTGTCGTGACAAACCGAGCAAATTATGGATGACATTTTTGGGCGTTGGCTGTGAATGAATGAAGAATGTCGTCCAAAATGGTTCAGTGTAGGGATGGAATGTTGTAAAAAGTTGGTATCGTGATGATTGTGCATATTATGTTGACAGATTTGGTCATGTCACAACAAGTAGATAAGGGTTTACATTACTTCTGTATCTTATCTTGAGTTATGTATGTTGTAAAAATGATCTTGATTTGATTGACATAATTATTTGCTGGACAATATTTGTCCGTTCAAAATTTCTGCGAAGAGTGGAGAAAAAATAGATTGGTAGATAATTTGTCCTCTTAAATTATGATGTGCGGACACAAACGCTTAAACCTCACACTACGTAGCAGAAAAATATTTACGGACAGTTGCATTTATACAATTTATAAATCATCAAACTTGACATGCATACAAGATTTTGATCAGAACTTGAATCAATTTCATCTTTATTTTTTTTCAAATGTCTACAAGAGTAAGTTCGCAATGAAAGTAAAGTAAATATGTAGCAATTCCACTCATTAACTGTTCAAGGTAACGTTCAGTTGCGAACAAGTGTCACTTGGCTGGCTTTTTTTGCGATATCATTGTCCGACATTGGTTACGGAATAAAGTGTATATTGGCACCCAAGCTGAACGTCATCACATTAGGGTCACTTGGATGGTGTTTTGCGGTCTTATTATTCTGCATTGGTTTTGCGTAAGTATTTATTCATATGATTTATGTATGAACAAGTTACAGAATACACTAGTGTATGTACATTTGTATGCATACATACACGTTTGGCTTAAACCTCATTTAAGCTGGTGGTCAGCGTGTTTATTTAAGCAAAGTGTGGAAAGTGATACGCATGTCGAGATAAACCATTGTTCCAATCAGCCACGAGACATATCGATTTCATTCAGTGGCCGTGGGAGCAATGGGGACATTACCATTGTAGGCTTATCTGTTTAATCTAGGCCGTCCAGATACTGGAATTGAATTAGGGTGGCGACATTGTCCCTTTGTCCCCACGCTTCCGTAGCCAGTGATTTCATACCCTGGGAAATATGTTTGGTAAAACTTCATATACTCAAATGGCTATAAAAGGTTAACGTCCACAGGAGGCCTCGCTTCCGCGGCAGTTGCTTCATTTAAACCCTGCTTGAGCCCCATCGATTCGTGAGAATTTAATTCTTATCACAATCTCTGCTTATCTTATGCTGTCCATTGTGTTTTAAAATATAGACCAGAAAAAGTGCCAGTGTTAAGCTGGTTTTCGTAATTAATCGTCACCACTCGGCCGTGAGAAGCACATTTTTATGTTAGTGTAATATTTACAGGATAAATTCTAAAAAAAAGGGTTAAACATGCCCCAAAGCAAGAATATGGAGGAAGGTGAGACAAGAAGACCAAAGTCATGCGCCTCCTTCGGTAAAGGATTGACCGTCGAACCTGCGGGATTTCTGCTCGTTTTGAGTTTAGTGGTTTCTCATCTCGTGTTTCAAAACGTGATGATGGAGACGATCTGTCGTGTGGATTTGGGATATGAAGCGGAAACTTGTAAAGAGATTATTAACAAGGTGTAAGTGATTAATTAAATGCTAAAGTTGTTTAATCTTTGCGCTACTATTCGTTCAAAAAATCGCAGAGGTCATTAGGCAGAGTTTGCACAAAAAGCAAACCTGATGGTCGTTATCTTTACTTTTTAACAAACAGTAGTTGTTCATTACTGCTTATAGAGGACTTTTTTTGCTATGGACCCCCTGAAACATTTATATTTAAATTTGGATAAATTGTAATATTAGCTAGTGAGATACGTCCAAACAATGCAAATAAGCGTGTTAAAAAAATCCACATGTCAAGGGTACCTCTGAGGGACTCATTACATCTTTTACACATATCCCTTCATTGTGGGATAATCAGCTGTCGTAAAAATATGGGGTTTGGATATTTTTTATCTAAATACGATTATCTAAAACGAACTTCAGTAAGGAGCTGCTACGTGACCTTTTTGACCTAAAGTTTAACCTTTTAAATTTACATGTATTGCGATAAAATTGGCTTGCTAATAAACTGTAAAACTTAATTTTTATAGAGGTGACGTCTAGTCTAGTTTTTAAACTAAAATTTTTGCATGTTTAGGAATATCACTTACAAAGCGGAGGAACGAGAAATTCAAAAAGTCGTGGCCGGAGTACAAGCCGTTACGTCCGTCATATTCAGCTGTATTACGGTCCTCGTGGTACTCTTTATAGGTCCCTGGAGTGACGCTAATGGGCGAAAAATTCCGCTCCTCATATCCGTGACTGGCATGATGATAATGCCCTCCATGATGATCGTGGGATATTTAAACCTCGGCAAGATTCGCGCCTTGTACATGGCCCTTCTAGCCATGCTGCCTATGACCTTAACCGGCGGCGTCGTCGTGTTCGGCATGTCGGCCGGGTCCTACATTTGCGATACGACCACCCCGAAAAATCGGACCGTTAGGATGGGGGTCTTTTCCGCTTCGGTCCGATCCGGCACCCCGATCGGGTTCGTGGTTGGCGGGCTGTTAATGAAGTTACAAGTCGGAATTGTAAAATCGCTCCTGATTTCGGTCTGTTTGTCGGGATGTGCCTTTTTAATTGTGCTGTTAACCGTGAAGAAAGGGAGACCGGAAGAAATTTCGGTTAATGGCGGGGAAATTGCGGTAAAAAATAGGCGGGAAGAATCCTGTTGGAGGAAGTACAATCCGGTGAGCAAATTGATTCAAGCGTTTGCGATCTTATTTCAAAAGCGGGATAATCCGTGGAGGTTCTATTTACTGATTTTGGTCCACGTCTGTTACGCCGCGCCGGGAGCGGAGCATTCCATGGTTTATCTCTTTGTGAGGGAGCGGCTTCAATGGAACATCAGCACTTTCGGGTTCTTCTCCATGATTAATTGGCTGTTAAGTGCGGCGGGGGTGTTTCTATCGATGTATATTTTGAGCAAGACATTAAAGTTGTCGGATCCTTTGGTGGGATTTGTTTCGGGGATTAGTCAGATTGGAGGATCGACGCTGTATGCGTTTTCGACATCGGCGGCGATGATGTATTGCGGTAAGTTCTGTTTTCCAAACGGCTAGGGAATAGTTTAAATATTATTAAGGAATTTTTGCTAGCTTTTACTTGTGCAATAGGGAGATTGCGAATTAGAGATTTTATTTTGACGGAAATCAAAAATATATAAAACATAAATAACTATAAATAAATAACTTGGTAAGGACAAACTTACAGTACAGTCCATGATAAATTTAGCGTTCGTGTGAAAATTTAGTGTACAACCCTCAATTCGCAATCTCCGTAATATTAGAAAAATAGCTCGGTTTTTGGCTTTATATTTTTACCTGTTATTTGGCTAGAAATAAAATAAAATCAAGCTGATGCAAAACAATTCCTTTTTTTAAATAACACTAATAAAAACAAATTAAAAAATTTTGTCTACAGCCTCTGCCCTGGACATGATGAACGGCACGATTGGCGTTGTTGTAAGATCCATGCTGTCAAAATTAGTAGCAGCGAATGAAGTCGGAAAACTATTCGCGCTCTTGGGAGTGATTGACAGCTTGCTTCCGTTGGTGATGATGCCGACGTACGCGATGGTTTATCGAAGCACGGTGACCACCTTCGCGGGAGCTTTCTTCTTCTTGTCGGCGGGAATAACGCTGCCAGCAGAAATTATATTTTTGTAAGTCACAATTTTTAATATCGAACATGACAGAAAATAATTGAGGGAGTGGATTCTGAAGGGTCTGGTTTACATTAAATAATCCGAAACCCGAAATTTTTTATCAGAAACCCGAAATTAACCTAAGCCCTTATGCATAATTCGTAGACCCTTTGTAAAAATTCAAAGTAGAGTTTATTGGTCTCAATGATTAAATAATTCTAAGAATGTAAAATTTTAATATGTCCCAGGTATTTCATGCTTTCGAAGGAGGACAAAAAGGGTAACGAAAACGAGAACGAGGAGACGGAGCCAACGCCACTGGACCAACTGCAGTCCACGGTGGAGTCTCTGAACAAAAGCGTCCCTGATCTAGCGAAAATGTTGCCGGTTGATGTCCTCCTAAGCCGGGAAGATTTGACATGGGGTGGCAATGACAGTGGAGACGATATGGATTAACAGTCCTAAATGTTCTAGCGTTGTTAACAAATGTTTATAATATTTAGTTCCAGATTTAATGTGTAGTTGAGGTTTTTCGAATTGAAATTTATGAAATTAATTTTTGTAAAATAAGCCCATCAATAAATTAATAATGTGTCATGCTTTCGAACTTAAACTTAAGTGGTTTATTTAGTTTACATAGATATGTTTATCAATTTAATTTATTCACATTATTTTCCCCATTCATTAATTTCTATATATTTATTTCTTTATTAATATATGGAGAGATACCCTACCAAGTAGGCTATTACATACAACTCAAGGTGAAGTACACCTCAATTTACAACTACTTCAAATTCAAAATCATCGATCATTTCAAAAATTTCACACATTCTTTCAGTCCTTTGTTTGTCTATTAAGAAAGCTTTTACAGAATTTTTAGAAACATTAAAATTAACCTTTTTAATGTCATTAGAATAGGAATCAGGCAAGTTAAATAAAACTTTATATGCTCTATACCGAAATGACTTTTTTGCGACATTGCATAGTATTGGTTTCAAGTAAGTCATATTTCATGATTGTCTTTGTATTGGAATTTAGTATGACAAATAAATTTAATTGGGAATTATTTTCGACCATATAATGCTCGTTTTAACGGGTACAAAAATGCGTGAAAAGTACAAGGATATCGTACCTATCAATTACACGAATATCTTAAACTATCATTTTTTAGTACCTCATTATTGGTTATAACATCTATTTGTGAACGTACTTAATGCATACATGGAGTTACATGTTGTGTAAATATTATATTAAATATGAGTCACCAATCGCAACGTGTGAGGGGTAAGACTCAGGTAGTATACGTTATTGTAAATCTTTGTACCAATTTATTTATTTGCTTATGTATGTCTGTACATGGTCTCAACCCATTAAATATCTGGGTTACCATTTTTAGATTAAAACCACGGATTGTTCCGAACCCTGACTCTGATTTCTAACCTACCTTGTTTTTAACCCTATCAGAACACGAAAGGTACCTCTCGTCACTCCCTGGACATACTTCAACACCGTCACTTTCCTAATCCTTAACATCCCTGGATACCCAATATACAGAGGACGGCACGACTTTGCAAACTTGGCCACGTATTTAATTTCTCCTGTTTTTTAACACTAATTTCTTCCAAGACTTCAACACCTTTACACAATTGGTATTAAACCATTTCCCAAACTGTACGAAAATGATCCACGCTGCCTGCACCATGAATGAACTGGCTATGAGCGTTACCTTTGCTGCGTCGTGCATCTCGTTCCATTTGGTTATTACGGAGTAATTTATCAAAAGTGCAAACTGCCCGACTAAAGCTTGCATCGGCATTAGGATATAACCAGTATTTTCTGTGAATATCTTATGCCATATTTCCACAGATCGATACACAAGGCTAAGATTAATAGGATTACGTAACTCCTGGAGTTTCGAGGACAACGGTGGTATATCAGCTCTTAAGTGGTGCGTGATTATGGGAAACATGCAGGATACATAAATTAGGAAAACAATCGTCATGAAGCCAAATCTTGCCCATATTCTCATCATTAGTAAGCAATACCAGTATCCCACGCTAAGATAGGCGATCCAACCCTGACAATAAGTAGGTAATGCTTCATATGGGAATGGTGCCGTCAATGGTGCAACGAAGTATAACCACGACACGCAAATCCAGCTAATCGTGACTGAAATGACAGAAAGGTGAAACCCCATGGTTAAGTATTTGTTCAATTTTGTAAGGCTTGGATCGTTCACGTTGTGCCATCTCGCTGGAATAAAATATTTTCACAATTAACACAAAATGTAGGTGAAAACCACAGATATGGAGAGACATAGATGGAGGAACTATTGAAAAAAGCGTCTCAGCATGGAGAACATTTGGGTATAATTTGGGTATAACGCATATGGACTTCATTGTCACTTTGCCCCACTTTCTCAGTTGGCAGAAGCTGGAGCAGTATTTAGTTTCATTCACAAAATTTGCTACGTTTTTAACATTGGAGTGCTTTGAGATCGGGGATCTAGGTCTCTCCATATCTGTTGTGTAAACTAAATCTTGTTTCTTAACTTACCTTGATATTCGTTTATGAACCGGAAACTGTAATTCATCAGGGCTGCAAACTCCCTTTCGTAGATTACGCCAGGTATCCAAATGAAACTATTGAGGGTAATCCCATAAGCGAAGGATAAGCAAAAGTTGAAAGATGCGACGTCACCCCTTAACAAGATGGCTTTGATAAAACAATAAATTGAATATCCGACTTGGGTAAGAAATCCATATCTTGTTTTGTTTCTGAATTTTCTTGTCAAGAAAATTTGTCGAGTTTTTCCATCCCAATGAAATGGACTTGAACCTATCTTACGGGAAAATGAGAGAACTCTTGCAAAATATTGGAAAACTTTTTCGTTCAACATTGTTGTGTTTCTTGCACACTTGTTGCACAATGAAAGGAGTCAGAAAGCTAAAAAAAATATAATCATCGATTTATTGGTGTTGTTCTTAGTACTCTATTTATACCTGATTACAAGGTTTCAAAATTTACATAATATTATCCAATTATGGCCTGCTTTTAAACTGTATTAACTTTAATGCTTCAAATCATGCATGAATATTTGACATAAGAAGATTTAGCTGTTTTTGCACATAAATAAATACATATGTACACAAAGTGAGTCTATAATTAGATACTTTTTTAGACCCGGCTATAAATAAAATATTTACAATATGCACATGGATATGTACTGCTTTTATATTCCAAATGATGGCGATTTTTAAAAACCAAATTCCACAGGGCACTGGGAAAAATTAACGTTTTACGACTTTGAATAGAAAATGAATAAGATTTCTAGCAATAGTTTTGCAGTTTGCCCAATTGCTCTAATTGCTCTAACAATAATAATTGTTATATCTGCCAATGCTCAAATTTGGCAGATATTTGCATCCAAAGCAGGGTAAGTAAAACCCCGGGGTTTTGCTATTGAAAACCCATACCCCGGGGTTTTACCTGGGTTTTGCGGTAGTCGGAGTAGTCGGGGTTTTGGGGGCAAACTGAGTCAGTGTCTCAGGTATTAAATCCAGAAATTAATGAAAAAAATCAGTTTTTCGTTAATTTCGCAACAAAACTGGTTATTAATTATATTTTAATAAGTAATTAGTTTGTGGAATTGCTAGTAATGCCCTGTTATCATATTTTGTAAAATTTGAAAACCCCGACTACCCCGACTACCCGTGGGTATTGCTCAAATACCCCAACACCCACCAAAACCCGCAATACCCCAATACCCCAAATACCCGGGGTAGCATACCCTGATCCAAAGAGGACAAAGCGCGGAGTAAAGTTTGATCGTGTAAGATTTGCCAGCCTTCTGTGTGTTTTCTCCTCTTCGGACCCTTACTCATTGGCGGTCCACCTCTAACAAGGGACACTCACGACCTGTCGTTTGAGTCCAGGGTACCCACTATGTTTTTTAGAATCTACTAGGACCCCAGATGAAGGATTCATTCATATTTCCGTGTAAAACTTATATTTGGCGCCATGGCGTGGCGCCAAATTCGCCAAATTTGAAGGTTTTTCATTTTAAAACCGCCGTAACTTTTGAAATCCTGGACGGATTTTCAAAATTTTTGGCAAAAATCATGACAAGGAGTTCAACTTTCGTATTCTATGAAATTTTTTCCAAAATTATCGCTTTTAACTTTTCGCAAAATTTCGAAATTTCGGGTTCGTCAAAAAAATGCTAAAAAATATCTCAAAAATTAAAATTTTTATTTTTATTTTTTTCTCTAAAATTTCGACTTTTCTGATCATTTTAAGCATAAAATTTTAAAAATCCGACATAAACTGCAAAAGTTATGGGGGTTTGAAATTGGTCGAAAATGCAAATTTTTAAGTTTGGCGCCACGCCATGGCGCCAAATATGAGTTTTACACGGAAATATGAATGAATCCTTCATCAGGGGTCCTAGTAGATTCTAAAAAACATAGTGGGTACCCTGGACTCAAACGACAGGTCGTGAGTGTCCCTTGTAAGATGTAAGAAGATTGCTTATTAATGTAGATATGTATACATAAATATGTATACATCTCTATATTAATAAGCGAAACGCAGCACTTTTCCCATTTTGAAAGGTAAAAATCACCTTTCCCCACATTTCCTAGCACTGGAGAAAGAAATTTATGAAGGTGAACATGTACGTGACCCTGGTTTCATGAAGGATTAAATAATTTTATGCTAGATAAAATTGGGAACGTTATTATTTTGCTATGATTACTTTTTTATTGGGCACTGCAGAGATTTTAATTTTAGATAAAATATTATTGCTTAGGTTCTAGCTTTTAACTTATTATACAAAAATAATTGTACATATTGCGAAATAATTGTTTTTTTATTTATGGGCTTTAATCAAGTTACGAAGGAGTTTTGGATATGAATTTAAATAGATAATCGAAATCGGTTTTCGGCGTCATACTTCCGGATGACCGAAGGGTTATCGAAGGGTTATCGCGGGTGAGATTTTTACTGACATTTAATCTCTTGACATACAGTGAAATTTCATGATCCTATGCTCTGCCACACCCCTTCGAGGTTAGGAGGTTTGATCGGGGCAAAATGCGATTTAACTGAAACTGGATCTGGACATGAGATGAAGGTAGGGATGAGACTGAAGCTATTTCGATATGTGGGTTTGCTTGTTTGTTTATTTTATTTGTTTCTTTGTTTTGAAGCAGTTAAATTTGTTTATTTGAATTTTGTTTGAAACTGCTTGTTTAATACAGCATAAATTAACATAACACCCTCACAACAATATCAATGAGCAGTTTAGAAAAAAATGGTTTTGACGGCAAAAATTTTCATAGGCTAGAAGCGAGGCAATTTATTTTTTTCAAATTTTTAAACCGACAATGGCAAATGACTTCAAAAATATCTAAAATGTTTTATTTTTTGTATAAAATCACTTATCAATCCTAACAACTTCGAATTCAGGTTTCTTCTCTTTCCACGCCTTCAACTTGGGATGAGTGGTAGCGTCGACGTCGTTATCGATTAAATAGTGCAGCGATAAAGTGGAGTCTTCGCCATCTCTTTGCAAATTTGTGATTTTCCCACCCTTTTCATGCGTGTAGAGGACTTGCTGCTCGACACCGGTGTCGTTCTCGTACCATAGTTGTGGTTGGTAGATATGAGTTCGTCCAATGTACTGAGGATGAATGGAATATTTTTTGAAATGTATTAAATACTGCCCTCTTAAAAATAGTGTTAGCCTTTTGGGAATTAAATGCATTCTGACAATTGTTAGTTCAGTTCTGTAAACTAGATAAATCCCGAATGCACTTTTCACTTTATCAAATTAACCTCGTTGTGGAGATACTCTCCGATTTTGATCTAATTTGTCTCAATCAATCTCAAATTTGAGTTAGATGAAATTTCATAAGGCATAGTCTCCCAGAGCTCAGGTTTGACAGAGTGCATCAAAAGAGGAAAAAATTAGTCATAAAGTTTATTACCCTTGTTCAATTCTTTCTCCTCTTCTGATGCAAATATCTCTGCCAAATCTGCTTTTTTTATAGATCGGCTCGTTGGAAAATTTCATTTGAGATCGTTTGTGACTAATTTGATCAAAATCGGCGAGCATATGTACGCTGAAGGACCACGTTTGTTTTATATTTGGCTTAAGGCTGCCTGGGACAATGGCACAAAAATAATTTCTTATGGATGATGTTAAGGGCTCATTTTTGGACAGAATGGAAAATGGATGGGTAAATATGTGGGGAATGGGTTTCTCCACAGAATTACGGATCCGTTTTCCATTCTCTCCAAAAATCAGCCCTTAACATCATTTTTTTAGAAATTCACTGTCCCAGGCACGGTTAATATAAAATTCAGCGTTAATTTATTTTTTCGTAAGGGTAGCATCATTTTTAAGAGTGTAGATAAATAAAGGGTTGGAGTTACCTCATCCGAAGTGTAAAGGATTCCCGGATCAAAATCATATATTTCGACGCTGAATACGATGGGATGTCCGTAAGTCCAATCAAATTCGTAGAGTCCCGGGATTATTCCGGTTTTTGTATCCATCACGACCTTGGACTGGTAGGCTTTGTGATCATACTCATTCTGGATTTTGGCAAATGGATCTAAACACAGGAATGATTGGGAAATATACCCTAAAAAAATGTTATCCTTTTGAAAAAACTGGTACACTCTACAGTCTTAATTAAATAAACCATACTAAACGCAAGGTAAAGTTGACATGATAGAGAGTCAAGTTTACCCTGAATTTAATATATGTACGAACCTAAGTTAATTTAGAAATTAAAGCGAAATTTATTTTGCAAAAGGGAACCGTTATTTTTAAGAGTGTAATAGTTGAGATTTTTATGGTACACACTAAAAATGATTACCAGATTCTGAGGCTTTTCCAGTTCCGCCGTCTTTCTTAGGAACGTTTCTGTAATATTGAAATAGGGTTAAGGTGTCATTTCAAGCGAGTTTTAATTTTGTTTTGTTTTAATTTTAAGTTTTAATTTTAATTTTAACTTTTATATCTACATAAACTATCGTTTCCTCGATTTATTAATTCAAAATGTAATTTTGTTTTGAAATTTTCTCATGTTCATTCATTTGTTTTATTGAGGATTGTTTTCACTTAAGAAATTTGATATTGTTTAGTTTTGCAAAATTCAAAAGAGGTTGCAATTTCGATTTTTTTTCTTCGACGAGAAAGATTTTTGGATGCAGTAATAAAATTCTTATTTTGTAAAAAAATCGCATGAAGTTGAACAAATTTTAAAATTTGATGCAATAAACGAAAGTTTAGATTAGAAAAATTATCAAAATTCAAAACCCTGATACAAGGAACGTTAAATAAATTTCTTCTCAATTTTTCTTGTAACTAATTACATAATTACTCAATTATTCGACTTACTTGAACTCTAGGAGGAACTTGACATTGAAATGGGGTGGTATACTTCCTAAAATGGAGCCCACAAGGAAGAAAAACAATATTTTACGGGTCATTTTACATATGACCATAAATTTGAAGGTAGATGTGAAGTGGGTTGCGTAGGTAACGGAAATTGAGGTTGTGTTTATGACAATTTTCTTCGACCAGGAAATAAATTATAAATATTTGTCATTTTTACGCAACAATTGCATTAGGTAAACTTAGAAATTGGGTACAATCAGGCAGGTACTGATTTCTCAATATTTAGGTATGTAAATTGGTATTGAAATTATGTATGTACACGGGTGCGAAAAAATACATATAGCAAAAACCTTAATACGAGTTGTTCAGCACAAAAATAAACCTATTCCAATTTTTGCATTTTTAATGCGCTAATTTGAGCGCGTGGCGCGAATTTTAAAACGTTTTTCTAGCCAAAACCTCGGTTTTTAAAAATACCACAACTTCTCGAATTTTAGCGCGAATTCAAAAATTCGAAAACATGTCTCTGCAGAATGACTTACTTGACTTATAAAACATCCAATTGTCGCGAAATTTGAATTTTTTGCATGCTTTTGAAATTTTAAACAGATTACGAACCCCCGTAGAGTTTCATATTTTCTAAAAATTTTGCAATTGGATTTTTAATACATCAAGCAAGCCAATCTGACAAGACATGTTTTCGAATTTTAGAATTCGCTCCTGAGTTGCACACGTAAAAGACTTGCATTGTGAGTAATTTTAAATAGCCTTAAACCTAATTTCAGCTAAGTACGCAAAAACAATCGATTTTATATATAACTTTGAAATACAAAAACGATTCCCTCTATCACAACGAAATCATGCATGTTGCAGAATTTATAACCAACGTTTAGAAGAGATGTTTCGAAATTACGAAAATTATTTAAAAACGAATGAATCAATGAAGTGTAAGAAATTTTATTTATATCAGATTGTTAAATGGCAATGTAACTGTTGGACGTATATATGGACATACATACCTACTTAAATACATAGAAATAAGTAATCGAAAATGCTAAATATGTAAATTTACGATTAACCCCATATTTTTCCATCACAGTTGATAAAAAATTAGAATCGTGTAGCGAAACAAAATCTATGTATTATGTAACCGATAATTTTATATAATTGGACTTGTATGCAAAATTTGCGAAAAATACTTCTTAAATATGTTGCTAAAACATAATAAAATGGATGTGTTGTTATTTTGTATATATTTAAACCCAGCATGTTTGCGAACCCTGACACTTATTGCAAACCTACCTTGTTTTTAGACCCACCAAAACACGAAATGTACCTCTCGTCACTCCCTGGACATACTTCAACACGGTCAACTTTCTAATCCTTAACAACCCTTAACAATCCTTAACAACAGGTCGATATCCAATATACAGAGGACGACAAGACTTTCTAAACTTTGTCATGTCTTTCATTTCCCCCTTATTCCTACAAGGTAATACCTTCCAAGACTTCAACACCTTGACAGAATTGTTATTAAACCATATCCCGAACGTTACAAAACCTAACCAAGCCGTCTGCACCATTAATGAGGAAACTATATACATAACTTTGGCAGCATCGTGCATCTCGTTCCATTTCGTTATAAGGGAATAATTTACCAAAAGTGCAAACTGCCCAACCAAGGATTGCGCAGGTATTAAGATATAACCACAAATTTCTAGGAACAGCTTTATGCCGAATTTCGACAGATCGATATACAGCGCTAAGATTTATAGGGTCACGTAATTCCTGCACTTTCAAAGACAACGGGGCTACATCAGCTCTTAGATGGAGCATAATTATGGGAAACAGACAGATTACATAAATCAGTACGCTAATCATACTGAAACCAAATACTGCCCAGATTCTCATCATTAGTAAGCAATACCAGTATCCTACGCCAAGATAGGTGATCAAACCTTGACAGTTAGAAGGCAGGCCTTCATAAGGGAACGGTGCTGTCACCGGTGCAACGAAATACAACCAGGTCAAACAAATCCAACCGAATATGACTGAAACTGCAGAAAAGTAAAAGCCCAGGATGACGAATTTATTCAATTTTATAAGGCTTAGGTCGTTTAAGTTGTACCACCTCGCTGGAATAAAATATTTTCGCAATTAACACAACACATATGTAATTGTGAACTAAATCGTGTTTCTCAACCTACCTTCATAGTCTTTTACGAAGCGGAAACTGCAATTCATAAAGGCTGCGAAATCCTTGTCGTAGATAACCACCACTATCCAAAGCAAATTATTGAGGGCAATCGCATAGGCAAATGATAAGCAAAAGTTAAAAGACACGACGTTGCCACGTAGCAGGATGGCTTTGATGACGCAATAAATTGAGTATCCGACTTGTGTATAAAATTTAAATCTTGCCTCATTTATCAACTTTTTTGTCGCGAAGAGTCGTCGAGTTTTTTCATCCCAATGAAATGGACTTGAACCTATTTTACGGCAGAATAAGAGAACTCTTGCAAAGTATTGGAAAACTTTATCATTTAACATGGTTGTGTTTCTGGCAGAATTTCTGCACCACGAATGGAGACAGACGGTAGAAAAAAATATTATCATCGATTTATTGGTTAAGTTACAAGTACTCTATTTATACCCGGGTCTTGAGTACAAGGTTTCAAAATTTGCATAATGTTATCCAATTATAGCCATCCGTTAAACTGGATTAACTTGAATGCCTCAAACCATGTACATATGTATGACATAAGACAATTTAGGTGTTTCTGAAATTACATATGCATGTACGGTAAGTTTATAATTAGTTCTATAGATCCGGCTATAAATAACGCATTAACGACATGTAAATATGTACTAGTTTTATGTTCCCAATGATAAAAACCAAATTCCAGAGGGCACTTGTAAAAACGAGCTTTTTACGGCTTTGGGAAGAAATTGAACTAATTTTCAGTTTGGAGAATTTCCATAGAATTTACTTAATTTTCTTCGTTTCCATTAAATTCGGAGAAAATATTTATCGATAACATAATTAACTTATAATAATTAACGTATCATACTTAAGAATAATACTCATAAAATTCCAAATTACGGGTACATGCCCAAATGTTAGGAAATGCTGGCGAAAATTCTGAAATCGCGCTCTGAAAATATTTATTATTAAACTAGTTATCTCTTAGCTATAATTAACTACTAATTAATACATCGCGCCAGTACCCGCGTAGCCGTTGCTACAACTGGAGATGTTACCATGGTAAGATATAGGTGGGCGGGCTTGATATGGACAGATGATGCTGAGATCGAATAACCGTGTGGACATTCTAAATACCTCTAACATTGTATATTGTACGTACATCTAATCACAAGCTTAACATTTTGAGAAGTAAACTCCACTAATTTTCCCCATATTCGATGCCTTAGCTCTAAAAAATATTTCCTAGTTAAGGTATTATTTTATTCGTACTTGTCCTGAACTTATCTCGACATTACATAGTACGTTTTCCTTGCACAGCATGTGTAGAGAATTTAATTTCGGATAAAATATGTAGTATTGACTGCGGTGGTTGATTTGTTTTAAGCTTTTTTTCATGCAATCATACTTGTATTTGCAAATAATTATTTATACTTATTAATAAGGAGTTATATATGCAAATGCACATCGCTTTTAGTATATTTACATACTAGTTAGTTGTTAACATTTTAATCACAATTTTAGGTTAAATCCTATCCTAAGGTTAAACATAGACGATTTGGATTAAAAATTGCAAAACCGTGCTGATAATAGCGCAACCTGAAAGTTTATTAGAGAATTTAATAATAATCTAATTTAATACATACGTATACCTACTTCAATGATCGCGATTGGTAAAAACTAAAGAGAACAGGGCATCTGGAAAAAGGAACTGTTTATAACTTTGGGAAGAAAATGAGTAAAATTCCATAAAATTTACTATTGTTTGCCCCAATTAAATTTCAAAAAAATAAATTAATAGCACGATTCACTTCATACAAAGCTTAAATATGATTTGTTCTCAGAGAAGTACAAAAAAATATAAAAACACAAACAGAAAATATTAGAAATACTCATATAACGATAACATGATACGAGTGTTTGCAAGCGCTCCCTGGGAAAATATTTAGGTTATTAACGACCAAATGAAACCCTGGTTTCATCAGCGATTAAATAAATAGATAGTACTGGGAAAGGTATTATGTTGTACCTGCCTTGCATTATCGTCACATGATTACTTTGTTCCTGGAGATTTTAATTTCAGATAAAACATGATTAGAAGCGGTGGTTTATTAGCTTTTAATTTCCTAATGTAATTCCATAACGTAATTCCTAACATAATTGTATTGTCAAATAATTATTTTTATTTATAAGCTTAAATAAAGTTAAAAGTGTAATTTCGTAAATGACTATGTCTTTAAGTAAAGCATGTTGATTAATTCCGGTAATATTTTTCTCTGCAATATGTAGGAAAATCGTTGTTTTCAAAAGTACTAAATACTGGTCTTTTCACCATGCCCTGAAATCATGCCCTCAACTCTATGTGTTCATTTTCACAAAGCTTTTGGATCTCAAAGGTAGAATTTTTAGTTTATTATGTACAATTGGATAGCTACGGAAAATACAGTCAGATTTTTATAATGTCACTAAAATTTGGTATGCACAAGTGAAATTTGTTGTGCTACATATTTCAAGTAAGTATAATCTTTAATCTGTTTAGCCTTTGACCTGGCAATTGTAATCTACAAATTCCTTTGCACGCTACATCGAACTTTGAGGAGAATGCATTATGGTGTGAAGATAAAAACGAGAGGCCTTTTCTACATATGTACAAAGCTTATGGCGGACCGGGCCCTCGGTTTTAATATTCACAACATAATGCATTCTCCTCAAAGTTCGACGTAGCATCCAAAGAAATTAGTACATTTCGCTTACCCGGCCAAATGCGAGACAGATTATTGGTCATACCTAATCTCGGCTTGAGTCCGAACCCGCATTTTGAGGAACACATTCTAAGAGCTAAGAGCGGCAAAAATTTTTCCTTTAAATTTTTAATCCGGTAGCAATAAATCATTTCTAATATATGAAATGTATGTAATTTTATTCAAATCAATCACTTATTAATTTTAACATCAAGTTCATGTTTATTTTCCTTTTTATGCCAAATGTGGAAATGCGATGCTATAAGTTATAGGCATGTTTCGTTAAGACGTTATTTTATTCACATCAGGTTCTTAAATTGTTTTCAAATTGGTTGCTATACAACTACCTACCAATTT